ACACCACTCTCCAATTATTTGTAACAACTCAAACTAAACTATTCAGGGCGATATCTAAAAAAAAAATCAAGCTACATCAACATTTTTGTAATTAAACTCGCCCCAGTAAAATTGTGATAAAGGTCAAAACTGTAGGTGCTATGTTATTTTTAATTATTTTAAGTTGTTGTAATGGATTCCTTGTCTTAAAATATGTAGATGTACATATTTTCAGCTTTCCATTGCATACAGAACAGAAACAAAGAATAAAATCATTTTTTTAATTTGCGGATTTTCGTTACAAAGTTAAAATAGTTACATCTTTGAAAATGTTTGGAATTAAATGATAAAATTTTGGAAATGTTTATAACTTATTAAAATATTTGGAATTAGATGATAAAATTTTGGAAATGTTTATAACTTATTAAAATATTTGGAATTAGATGATGAAATTTTGGAAATGTTTATAACTTATTAAGATATTTGAGTGGTATAATAATCAGCAAAATCTGAGATTTAGAATTTCCTGCCCTGGATGCTTTCACATAGAGTTGCCCTATACATACATCAAATTTGATTTTATGCTGGCGGGCATCCTTTTATAAAAACCAAAAAAAAGGTTTCTAGATTTTGAACAAAAAAAACAGTTATAATAATAATTTTTTTTTAAATCAGATTCTTTCTTACCTCACTTTATACCAAATTGTGGCAAAATAATTGCCCTATCCCCCCTTATTGTATGGCATAACAAGGGAGAAGTGGGTAGTTATTTTGTTATTTATACATATATGCAATTTTTTCAAAGATAAGGTAGTCCCATATTCTAATTAAAATTGCATATATGTATTTTGATGGCATTATGCACAGATGTGTTAAGTACAACATTTGGTCAAATTGAGCTAAGCACACAAATATTGTCATATTTTTTCAAACATTATTGTACCCGAATATGGTAAGTGTACAATAAATTGTTACGAGTCTACTACTTTCAAAATGCTTCCCTGTAAAATAACATCTGTGGCACTTCACACTTCTGTGCATAATGTCATCAATTTATAAACTACGCACATACACATGGCAATAACTGTAACCCTGAACCAAAGAGCAAAAAATTATTTATTAAAATATAGTTTTTTTTATTTTTTAAGTTCCTGTTTTGTTTTTTTTTAATAAAAGTTTTAATTTTTTAACCAAAAAACTAAAAAAGTAAAGAGTATTTACATATATGTTTTATGTTTATATATCGTATTTACATCTATTGGAAAAATATTTGATATAAAATGGCTTCTATAGTTTCAAGTTTCTTTAGGTATAATGGCAATATTATTTTGTGGTATTGTGATGTCGCATTACACTCACTTCAATCTTTCTCCTGTCACACAAATTACTGTGCAACATGTATTCAGAACAACAGCTTTTATGAGTGGTGATTAGTTTAATTGTTTATTTTTAACATTATTTAGTTGTAATTTTTTTATTTATTATATTATTTTGTTAATAAATAATGTAAAAAATGACTACAAGTAATAGCACTTAAAAAAGACATCTAATAATCTCTAATAAAGAAGGCTTGTATAATTTGTAAGTATAATTAATAATTTGTGTTTTAAAAAACTTCAAATAATTAAGTTTCACTCAAAACATAATTAAATTAAAATAAGTGCAATTGTGTTATCCAATATGCTTTCCTTTTCATCTTGGTTCTATTAAACTAACGATGCAGTTTTATTATTTACAATAAACATTAAAATAGACTATAGCAATTACCAATAATATGATATTATTAACAGTAATGTATATACTCTAGTCTACCTCTGGGTCAGTGTAGTACTGTAGTTGTTTCAAAACTGTCATGATAGTTTTTGGTACTTTGTTCTTGTTTATTTCTTAAAATGGTGTTAAATATTGATTGACTTTGCTTTATATGTATCTTCTCCATCATTTGATGGCGTAAATACAAAAGTTTTTTATTTTATATGTATCTTCTCCATCATTTGATGGAGGAAATTCAAAAGTTTTTTGTTTTTTTTTTACTTATGAGGTATAGCAGTCAAAAAATAAAAGTCAAAAAAGAGTTTAAAAACTTTAAACATTATTTTTTACAGATTTTAAACTTTTCATTTTTAAAAAATTTTACCACAGACAATTATCAAATAATTATTAAAAAAATATCCTAAACTTGACCTGATCTGAAGTCAATAAAAGAAGCTACTTCTCTAAGGAGTACTTTAAAAAAAAATTCTCAACAGATTATGTATATACATTAAGAAAAATATTACATTTTGGCATTATTTAACTGTTGGTAACTTTCCTGTCTGTGCATAATATTCAATTGTTGTTTTGAGAATAATATATGTTATGTGTTAAACTAATTACAATGCATTTTTATAATTATTTGTTGAAGAAAAACCTTATAGTAATTATTCATAGCGTCATTTTGCTTTTTAAAAGATTTTACCCTAGTTTTAGAAAATATATAAGCTAGTTATAAAAGTTAAATAAAGCTAGATTGATATTGCCTATGTATTCAATGTCTGTAGATATGCAAATTAATACTGTGTTTATTTATAAAATTATTATAAAATATGGGAATTTTTAATTTAAAAAGACCGAAGCAAAAGGATCTGTGTTAGAAGATTTGATGTTGAATAATTATAGCTTATCAATTATATCTTATAATTATAATTGTAGTTTAATACTATTTAGTGGGCATGTTGTAAAATTTCTTAGGAGGCAGATCTCATAACTGACTGAGACTGATAATTGATTGGATCTTAGCCTCGACCAAGTTAAGTAAAACATGGTAATTTAATTAACAATTGCTCAGTCTTAGATAAAGTATATGATATATATATATATATATATATATATATATATATATATATATATATATATATATATATATATATATATATATATATATATATATATGTATATATATATATATATATATATATATATATATATATATATATATATATATATATATATATATATATATATGCAGACCTATATAGTATTAAAGGTTCTTAGCAGTATTAAACAGACGTATATAGTATACGTCTGTTTAATACTGCTAAGAACCATTGTAAAAAGGTTTTGTCTAATGCAAAAGCCCACTATTCTCAGATCATGAAATCTCGTATTTCATCACAAAAATTAGGCTCTCGTTACTTCTGGAGAACCTTTAATAGTATCAATAATAAGGGCAAGTCTGTAATTCCACCTCTTTTGTATGGTTCAGACTTTGTCACCTCACCTGAAGACAAAGCTAAATTGTTTGCCAAGAACTTTTCATCAATATCATCTCTTGATGCCACTAGTTGCGTTCTACCTGATATAGCCGTCAAACAGGTTGATCCATTGCTCGACATTCATATCACTCCAGCTTCTGTATCTAAAGTGATTTCCTGCTTAGACTCTTCTACAGCTTGTGGCCCAGACAACATACCTGTTATAGTCTTGAAGAAGTGTTCCCCAGAGCTGTGTCTATCCTTTCAAAACTATTCAACAAGTGCTTATCAGAGTCTTGTTTTCCAGCCTGCTGGAAAGTAGCATCTGTTATCCCTAATTTTAAAAATTCTTGAGAGCGATCTGATTCGTCTTACTACTGTCCCATTAGTCTTCTTCCTATCATAAGCAAGGTTTTTGAATCTTTTATTAACAAATAACTAATCTCTTATTCTTAGTCTAATAACTTATTTTCTGATCATAAATATGGATTTTTTCCATAAGCTTTCTTCTTACGGTGCATCTGGAAATATCTTTAAGATTATTGAATCCTTTCTTTCCAATTGTAGTATAAAAGTTGTCCTTGATGTACAGCACTTTTTCTTATTCTGTAACCTCAGGGTTTCCTCAAGGTTCAATCCTTGGCCCTATACTCTTTTTAATTTACATTAACGATCTTCCAGATATTCTCACATTGGTGACATTGTTCGCTGATGATACTACCATTTATTCTTATCATGATAACAAGCCAACTCTCTCTTGATTGCTATTATCTCTCGAATCAAATTACTACCCTCTTACTGTCATTCCAAAGAAACTATAACTAAGCAAACAAAGGTTCTATTTTTAGACATTACTGCTGCATCACTGAACACCTTTACATCATCATTACCAGTCTGAATATCATTCAAGTCACAGTTTTTCAAAAGAGTTCTCTTGAACACTGTCCTTTAAGAAGAGTTAACTGAATCTTGTTGCGTGATAGAAAATGAGATCTAGTTTTAAATAGTGCCCATCTAACTATTGCTTAATCAGACTATTATTAGCAAAGTCTCTATAACAGACAAAGTTTTAATATCTTGAGCTAACAATATACTCTCTGACAATCAATACAGATCCTTAATTGATTCTAAATCAGATTTACATATTTACAGATCACAGATTACATATTTTGATTGTTCTATTGCTAACATTATAAAATGTAAAGTTCTGTCATTCAAATGAAATTTTTTTTTCTTCTTTAATTTATCTCCTCAAAGCTGTGAAGGTTATCTTAGTTGTTGCAACCCTCTCTCAACTCTTTAACTCCAAAACACAAGCCTTGACGAACAAGGTAGCTGCCTGGAGAAACAAGTTGAAAGAGATGAAAATGGTGAGGCAGAGCTCAAAAAGCAAGAATTTCCTTGGCATATCAAGGCAAGAGGCAAAAATTCTTGTCTTTTCTCGTCTTTATTAATAGTCTTAATAATATTAATTATCTTCCTGGTAGTCTTACCTTAAAACTATTTTTTAAACTTCACTTTAAAAAGCTGTTTTTTTTTGTTTTGTTTTACTCAATTAAAAAAGGTTTTTTAATTAATAAACTCTGAGATTATAATATCACATATCAGAGTTTAATAAACAAGCATGACCTTTTGAACTCCTGGTAATATCTTTTTTACAAAAGCCTTACTTGAAGGTTTTAAATTCTTGTTGTTAACAACTTTTGTTAACATCAAGAATTTAAAATTTTATCAAATTCTTCTCTAGCTACTAACTAGGTTTTCACAAATTAACTGGGTCAATTTGGTTCTTGGTTATTACTTGTATTTTAATTTTTTTTTTAATTGTTATTTTTAAAAGTTTGCTTATTTTTTAGAAACCTGTGTGTTTGCTTATCTTGGGATGTCAATATTTAGTTATACACACAAAATTGAAATTTCGTTTGTGGTTTGGAGTGTGGTAAATCTTTTTTTTTCTTTTCACTATTCGATCTTGTTTTTTGTTTTCTAGTTTTGAAATAGTTTTTTAATCTTTTTTTATTCAATAAATTTGCTCCCATCAAGAATAGGCTCCTATCAAGTAACCCCTCACACATTTAGTAACCCCTCACGCATCAAGTAACCCCAAACATGTCACGCATTAAGTAACCCCAAACTTGCTCCCATCAAGTAACCCCTAACTCTATTATAAGTCAATAATCATTTATTTAAATTGGTAGAAAAACAAAAGAGTTAAAGATTAAGAAACTGTTTGATATTAAGAAACTTGTGGCTAAAGAAACTGGTGGAGACTAAGAAACTGGTGGAGACTAAGAAACTGGTGACTAAAGAAACTGATGGAGATTAGGAAACTGATGGAGATTAGGAAACTGATGGAGATTAAGAAACTGGTGTTAAAAAAACTGGTGACTAAAGAAACCAGATGAGATTTAGAAACTGTTGACTAAAGAAATTGGTTGAGATTAAGAAACTGGTTAATTAAAGACTTGAAAGCTGTAAATTGTATGATTCAAGAAAACATGATAATGTAAAGGAATTCCACTTAATATATAACATAAATGCTAACTTTACAAGAGATATATGTTTATATGGTTTCCACAAGAGGTCAGTAGTATATGGTTTTTCCAAGAAATGTTAAGTTGATAACAATATTGCAATATATTAGCAGTAAATAATTGAGTTATGTTTGGATTACTTTTTGTAGTGGAAGAGGCCAACTGCTGCAAGCTTTAAGCTGTCATAAAAGAGAATAGAAGATTGAGTCTAGATAAGATCAAGTCTGAGAATATCAGTAAATAGCACAATAAAGCTCATCGACAAATAGTCAGAAGATTTAAACTTGATTTTGCAACAAATAAATTTGTAAAAAAATAAATCTAAATATGTGTACAGGTATGTGAATATTAAAGTCTATACAAATACATCAAAAAATTCTTAGTTATTGTTGATATAAGTTTTTTTGCAAATAAACAATTTATTTGAATGTATATAAAGATTATGGAAAAAATAATTTTTTTAGATTATAAATGTTCAACAATCATGTAAAAAAATATATTAGATATTGTTTTTCTTTATAAAAAATATTTGATGTTGTTTTTCTTTATAAAAATATTTGTTGTTGTTTTTCTTTATAAAAATATTAGATGTTGTTTTTCTTTATAAAAATATTAGATATTGTTTTTCTTTATAAATATGTTAGATATTGTTTTTCTTTACAAATCAAAATTATCTTTAGATTTTTTGCCTGATTGGAAGAGCATTTAATGTCTTTCCTTTGTCATTTATTCTGAATTATTTCAGAGAAACAAAAATTAACAGAAGATATCAAGTAATAATGTGGTTCAGTGGTAAATTTATTGTTTAGTTTTTCTGTTGTTTTATCTAAACTGCTATCTTCTTAAGAAATACTTTTAAGAGCTCAGTTTTATAACTTTTTTTTAGGACTTCGAGGAGCTATTGCATTTGCATTGTGTTTAAATTTAGAAGAATTTGAACCTGAAAAAAGAAGACTTCTTGTGAGCACATCTCTTGTAATCATTTTGTTTACAATATTTATATTAGGTGGATCCACTCTTCCACTATTAAAGGTTTTTATTTTTTAATTTTAAACTTTTAATTTTTATAATTATAATTAGTTTAGAGTTTTAATAATTATTAATGGCAAGGTTTTTAATCATGATTAATGGCAAGCAGTCAAATTTCATAATAAAATTTCTATGTAAAGAAATGATAAAAACTTTATTTAAAAACATTTATGTAAAACTAATAACAAAATAAAATATTTACGTTTTAAAAATTATACTTTTAAAGAATCTTCTATTTAAAGCTTTCTATTTGGTTTATAAAGTATAAATTATTATTGGCTAGGGTAATTTAACATAATTTTGCCACTCAATCTCGCCCACCATCTTTAATTGCTTATATGTCAGTTAACTCATATGCTGCACCATCAAAAAGACATTCTTTTAGAGCAGCAAACCAGCCTTATCAACATCAAAACAACTTTGACTTCAAGAGAATTGCAAATAAAAAAGAATATCTAAAATTTGTTGATTTTCGGTAATTTTTTTGCTCTTTAATTTGCCGAATTCAAACCAGCTAATACAAATCTACCGAGTTAATTATTTATTATGCATGTTAAATTATAATTTAATTTTGTTCTCCACTGTTTAATCTCTGATTGTAATAGCATTTATAATCTTTTGAAATGGTAGAAATGCATAAAATTGTTTTCTGCTCAACCTACCAAATTAACTCAATCTTGCCCACAGAATAAATATATTGTTGCCCAATGCATTTCATCTTGCCTGGGTGGGCGAGAATAGATGCAGCATAATATATTAAGACTTACGCTACCAGCAGTTTTAACAAAAAAAACCTTTCACCATGACCCCCATTATTTTGTCATTAAATTGGGATGATATATTTAAAAAATAATTGAAAAACAAAATCATAAAATTTCGCAAGGATACATATTAAGAGCATAATCTTTTTGAATACTTACTAAGAATATTTTTTTTATGTATTTTTATTCTATATATTATTGAGGAAATTTTTTTATAAATTAATTACACTTAATTTAACATCCTTGGCATTATTGTAAAAATAAACGCTAAACTTACTTGAAAATTGCTTTGACAAAAATTGATGATATCCATGTTAATTTATTTTTGATTCAAAACAATTCTCTTCCTTTGTGTATTGTTATTAAGGAAATTAATTAAAAAATAAATTGCTATGGCTCTGCGTTGAGTAATTGTATAAAAAGCTCATGTTCATCAAAACCAAATAAATTAGCTAGATAAAGAACAAAGGAAGTATCGCAAATAAGTAAACTTTGTCTGCTATTGCATTTTCTTTTCCTGATAATTATTGGTAAGAAATAATTTGGAATTTTATCTTTTTATGCTATGTTTTGTTTTTAGAAATAATTTTTTAGTGTTTAGAAATAATGCATATTTTATTTATGATTGTTTTATTTATTTTCATTTTTTTTTTTTTTTTATTAAATTCACCTCCTCAAGGCCAAGAAGGCCACTACAGACGAGGAGGCTACTTATTTGTGGTTATAGCCCTCTCTCAACTCTATAATTCCGAAACAGGAACCTTGATGAACAAGGCCGCTGCGCAGAGAAACGAGTTGAGCGCGGTACTATCAGGGACGTGGTGGGGATCGAACTTGGAACCACTCGTTTATGAAGCGAGCGCTCTACCACTACACCACTACCGCATAATTTTAGAACTAATGTTTTAGTTATTAAAATAACTAAAACATTATGTCCAAAACATTAGGTTCAAAAGGTCCAAAACTCATTTTATGCATAATAAGAATGTTTTTATTTTTCTTTAATAGACTTTTGTTTTAAAAGACTAAATGCTTATTTACTTCATTGTAAATTAAGTACTGCAACGTTCTATGGTTGTGATTAGTTTACAAATAGTAACATATGGTTTTCACCACGTGATAATATTTGCAGCTCTTGTAAATTTGGAAACTTTAACTTTATTAAACTTTCTTGTAACTTTATTAAGTTATTATGACATTCATACTGCAATTTAATTTATCTAGGTATTGTCTTGAAAAAAAACATGGTTAAAACAAGAGGTGGGGGATGTAGATCATCACTAAGATTTCACCGGATGTCGGATGGAAAGATTGCTTTTTTATTAGAGGCTACAATATGTTATAATACAACTCATCTTCATGATGGTATAACTCCATCAACATCTGGTAGTAGTACTCTTGGTATTTGTCAAATGAAACAGCTACCAACAATTGATGTTTCTTTAACTCATGTCAATGGTTCCAATCATTCCATTGATCAATCAGTCACTGTTAAGAAATGGGGCAAATTCCTGAAATGGAGTGAAGAAAATATGATGATTACTATTAGGCATGTCAGATCAGAGCCATCATTTTCAGTGCATAAGGCAGCAATATTGTACAATGTGCCACGTACAACACTGAGAGACAGACTTTCTGGAAAAGTCGTTATTGGAGCAAAGCCAGGAAGAAAACCTACCCTACCTTTTGCTCTGGAAGAAAAACTTATTGATTATGCCAGCAATAGAGCAAAGTTAGGGGTAGGTTTTAGAAAGTCACAGTTACTGATTTATGCTGGGAAACTTGCCGCAAAACATAAATTCAACTTCGAGAAAGGACTTCCAAGCAACCAGTGGTGGACTAGGGTTAAACACTGGCATGGGCATAAATTTACTCTGCGACAACCTGAGTGTACAGCTTCAGTCATGGTGAAAAATGGTTTCCACGTTAAACCAGAATCCATATGGAATATGGATGAAACTGGTCTACAACTTGACGTAAAACCAAGAAAAGTGGTTGCACCAAAAGGCACCAAAAACCTCCATAGTCGAACAAGTGGAAATCGAGAGTCAATCGCTGTTATTGCATGTGTGAATGCACAGGGCAAGTTCATTCCATCCCAAGTTATAGTGAAGGGAAAGACATCTAGGTCTTTATGGAGTTTTAACACTGAGTTCGTGCCTCTGGGAACAAATTAGAACTGGTCCGATAGTGGTTGGACTTAACACGGTCTAGCAAAACTATGGTTTACCAAGACATTTTCAGAAAACATTGGTCCGCAACATCCTCAGTTATTGATTCTGGATGGGCACGGTTCTCACAACTTTATTGAGCTAATTGATATTGCTATCCAGAACCAGATACATATAGTTGAAATGCCTTCACACGCATCAAACTGGCTTCAACCATGAGACCGCACCTTATTCAAGTCACTGAAGGATTATTATCGCTCTACAGCACAAGATCTGATGTGTCAGTTTCCAGGAATTATTACTTGTCATTCAAATTTTGCATGAACATTTGCTTCAGCTTGGGAAAAAGCAATGACTTCTAGCAACATTACATCTGGGTTCAAGTCATGTGGAAAATATCTGTTTAATCCTCAGGCTGTTCCTAGTGATGCATATTTACCAAACTATCTACACATAGCTGAGGATATATCAGTTAATAACAATTGTTTTTTTTTTGGTTAGTATCTAGACTATCGTGTTTTTGCTAATACTACTATACAATAAAAATTATTATTTAAACTTTAGCTAGCAACTGTGACTAATATTTTATGTACAAATTGGTAAAAATTCTGAATGAAGCATAAAGTTTACTAACTTGCATTTCAATAGTATTAATTATTATTTTCTTAGGAGTTCCAATCATCAATTGTGGAAGAAATTAATTTTTTAGGCGTTGATGCTTCTATAGATGCTGGAAAAGTTGCTTATTATCTAGAAAAATTACAAAATGGCACTAAAGAAGATAACACAACTCACAGTTTGTTACAAATCAACACTTCTATTTTGGAAGCAAAGACTGTTGTTCGTAATAATCAGCTTGCATATTTAGTCAATCCAGTTGAAGAAAAATGTTGATTGCATTGTGAATAGTTTTACCAATCTTACTAAGCAAAAAAAAAAGAAATAACCATCAAACTTTAATTATACTAAAGTTTCAGATTTTCCGTTTACAAACTCTTCCTACCCTGGTAAGTCAATCATTTTACAGTTTTTTTTCATTTCATTTGATCAAGTGATCAATAGTTGCATAGCAACAATGCAACTTTTAATAAATTTTTAGTTTTAAAATAATTCCAAGTTTTTAAAATTATTTAAATACTTGTTCCTTTATTATATATATATATGTTTTTATCAATGCAGGTCTGGAGATGATGATGTCTTGGCATATCATAAAGCCACCGCACAGAAAAAGATAGCGAACAGAAAAGGTCAGCTTAAATACTTCGTTTTAACTTCTCAAGAAGAATACTCAGCAAAGCTGAAATATCACCAAGACAAAATCCAAAAATGTGAAAGAAAACAACTGTGATTTGTTAATGCTGCTAAACGACTCAAAGAAAAAGAGTCTATAGCAACAACAAAAAAGAAGTTCATTCCCTTATCATCTGAATTGCAACCATTGGTTGATCCGGAGAACAATACTAACTAATATGTACTAAATATTTGACAATATTTTTTTATATAACTAAAAGTGCATACAATTTGGTCTTATCTATATAAACTTTTTTATTTTTTTTATTTAAGAATACTCTAATGGTTGTATTTGTGATAAGACCTAATGGTCTTATCACTAAGCACCGCCACAAGGGCTTAACCATTAAATGAGTTGGTTCCCCATTTTGAGCTTTACCGATAAAGTATAAGTGTTTCGACCAGGATTCGAACTCACCACACTTATACGATGAGCATCATGCTCTACGCCACGGCTGCTCATATTAAAATCAATCTCATGACTGAGGCAAAATGAAGACAATATTTGTCATATCACTACGGCTCGTAAGCATTGATGTGTTGAAACTATATTTTATTTACACATTTTACAATTACAATTGAGATTGATCTCAGAATCCAGATTCGAGTCAGAATCTAAGGAGAAAGTTCACATTCACAAATACCCCATGGTTTTATACTTTTCTAATTAAAATGGTGCAATTGAGCATAGAAATTAACTTACGAGATTTAATCTAACTCACCTGTATATAACATCGCCCTACGCAAGTATAAGTTCTTTTTTAATTTACACAGTGAGTGACTTTAAATCAACATGGCGAGATGGTACTGCCAACTACTCTAATAAAATCTAAATAATTTTACATAGTTTTGTAGTTGAAGAAATAAGCTATCTAATGATGTATAGTTCAGGTGTGCAAGTCTAATAATAGCCTGTCAACATCAATTTCAGTGCAGGTGTGGGCGAGTTTCGTTTATAAGTTATCTTACTGTAAATATTATTATAAGTATAATAGTATTTTTTTAATAATTTTTTTTATTATTATTGGTAAACAAATATTGTTAAGGTTTTAAAAAAATATTTATTTTTAAGTTACCAAACCTAAAGCTTACTTGTTACCTGTACAGTTTCAGTGACAAATTTAAACTTCTCTTAATAGCTAAACAATTGAAAAGCAGTTTAGAGAACTCATAATACTCATCCCTTATTTAAATATACTGAATATTAATAGCTTAAAATTTTTTATTTTTATTTTTAGTTTTTAAAAGCGACTACAATAAACAACAATGAAACACTGACTTTAAGTAAAACTGCAGCTGAGGTAGGTTTTGTTCTTTCAATTGTTTAATTTTTATTTATTCATCAGTTGTTTCATTTTTATTTATTCATCAAACGTTTTGACCTTAAAGTTAAAACTCAAAATGAAACAAAAGTAAAATTTCTCTTTCTTTAACAAATTTATCTGTAAAAAAAGACTGTTTAATTCTCTTTTTTACAGGGTAGCGCTGTTGAACCAGATCAGCTGACCGATGATGAATGGAGACTAACACATAAAATTGCTATGAAAGGCTTTATTAAATTGGATGCAAAATATCTCGTACCTTTTTTTACAAGAACAATTACGAGACAGGTTTTTAATTAGATTTTAAAATTAGTTTGATGACATTTTTTTTTTTTTGCTTTTTATATATATATATATATATATATATATATATATATATATATATATATATATATAACTAGTTTCTTATTTTTATTTTCTTTATTGTTTGCAACACAAAAAAAAAATTTTGTGTGAGTTAGATATTCATATATATATTGTACAAAAAATGCTATTTTTCTTTATGAATTTAGGAAATTATTGACGCTCATCATGAAATGGAGTTAATGACGTCACGTTGGTACAACGAAGTTCGTGAATCGCCCGAAGGAAGTAATGAAAAACTAATAGGAACATAAAAAAAAAACAATTAGTAATGTTGTGGTCTTAAGCAAAGCGTTAAATTCAATAGTTTTTTAGTTTTTTGGTAAATTATTTTTCCCGTTTTTTAAAATTATTTTTATAGTAAAGCAAATGTTTTTTTTTTTTTTTATGTTGTCATTATGATATTATTCATGGTATCATTATTTTTATTATTATATTTTTAGTGTATTTATTAATTATTTATGGAGTTATAAAAATTTTTAAAAAGTTTTTTAACGTTATATGAATAACAAACAAAAGTTTTTAATGCAAAATGGTGTGAAAGTTTTTTTAATGTAAATTTTTTTCACAGCACTAAATATAAATTTTGCCTATTCACCCCCCTTCCCCTCTCCTCCGCTGTTAATGTATGTATAGCTTAATTAAATATTGTAAGATGTATTCAATTTACATTCACAAATTGTATAAAAATGCTTTCTAAAAGATAAAACCTACCTAAAGTTGACTTGTTTTTTGAATCCATAGAAAATGATTTCATGTTTTCTTAATATTTAAAACATTAGTTATTTGCTTACTTTCTGTCAATCTTAAAACTTTTCAAATACTTACGCATCTCTTACAAAAAATACTTATGTATCTCTTGTATTATTATTATTAATTATTTCTAAAGCATTTTTAGTTTTTTAATAATTTTTTCTGTGAAAAAAAAAATGTCTTCAATTAATAAAGTTTAAAAAAATTTTAAATAAAATGAATTATTAAATATTTCAAAACAAAAAAATTTTCAAATTATTTTATACATAAATCTTAGGCAACCCACTCAATCTGCAACAAAAAATAAAAAAGCTGTTTGATTTTAAATATAATAAAATCACCTTGCCTATTGCGCAAAAGCGATTGACAGTTCATAGTATATCTTAAAATCATATTAAATATTCTAAAGTTCAGGGATCTTTTTCCATGTATTTCCGGATATTTTTCTCGACTAGTTTTTTCTGGATATCGAAAATGTTTTCTTTACGTACAATTTTTAGTATATATTTTTGTAACATATTTGTTTTTTAAGCTTTTTCACTCATTACTCATACAAAAATTAAGGATCGGCATGAGTGAATTTATTTTTACTATAAATCAATCTTGATGCGTATATTTAGTGAACTTAATTTAGATTTATTTGTACTTCCCCAGGCAATATTAGCATATATTAGGTAACTTTGTAAATTAAAAAAAAGAGGATTTTTAGATTCACCTGGGAAAGTATAGGTTTGACTTTGTAAAGTATGCCAAAACTTTTTGAAATTTTTGTATTTAATGTTTTTATATGGGTTTTCCAAGAAATTGTTTCGTCAATTATCCCAAGAAATTTAATAGTTTCAGTTCTTTTAATGTTTATGTTATCAATTTCCTAATATCAAATTTCCTAATACAAATTGCTTTTTATTAAAAGAATCACTTTTGCTATTAACTAAATCTAAAATTGCATGTTCTGTTGAGTGCTGTGCTTGAAAGCCGAATTGTTTTTTATTTAAGAATTTGTTTTGAATTAGGTATTCATATAATCTATTGTAGATTATTCGTTCAAGTATTTTAGAAAAGGTTGGAAGTATTGACATTGGTCTGTAATTGTTTGTTAGAAATGTTTCACCGGTTTTAAAAATAGGTATAATTTTATAATTATAAATATAAAAAAAAAATAGGTATAATTTCTATGTTGACAAAAAAACTATTAAATTTTTCTAAGTTTGCATTATTATCGTCATACTCTTTATTATCTATGCAGGTAAATTATTTATTTTGCAGGTTTTTATCCCAATTATTTCTTTGATGATATCCCAAGTTTTCTTAATATCACCATTTGCGTTTTATTTTATTTGAGTAATAGTTTTTCTTTGAAATTTTTTTGATCTTTTTAAACAAGTTTTTATACTGTTTGTAAATATTAAGGTTTGCCTCTATTTTTTAAGTATTTAATTCTATTTTTTAAGTATTTAATATAAAGTTTTTGTTTTTTTTTTAGGATTTTTTAATACCTTTGGTGATCCATGAACATTTTAAGTGTTTTTCTTTTATTAATTTTACTTTAATTGGGAAGTGCATATTATAGTTTTTTAGGAAAAATTTTTCAAAGTTATTGTAAGCAGAGTTAGTGTGCCCAAGATTGCATTGATGGTATACCTTTTCCAACTCTTCTTCCGAAAGTGAGTCCTTAAATTGTAGAATAGCAAATTTGTTGATTTTTCTTTTATAAGGTTTAATTTTACAACTATTATTAGATTTTGTATCTTGCGTCAAGGAGAAAAAAATAGGAAAATGATCAGATGTATCTGTCTTTATTATTCCTGCCTTTAGAGAAGTATCAAAGATTGAATTAGTTAATATATTGTCTATTGCAGGCCCGCCGTGAGCCTTTGCGGCGCCCAGGGTCAAAATTTCCCAAGCGCCCTGCTGAAAGTGAAAGCTGATCTAATGATCCATAATTCAATACATATAATAAGCCATTTGATAACAAATCAAAGAGGATAAAAGAATATAGAATTTTTTAATTTTAATTAATGAACATTTGAACAGTTTATTTCTAGATAATTGCAATGGTCTTTTGACTTGGTTATACACTCATACATAAAATGATAGTCGACACTAGAACATGGTAGAAACAGACCAAAGACAATCATTAAACACTATTGGATGTTAAGAGCAAAAATTTGTCTAGAATACAACAGCTATTGTTGTTTCAACTTCAAAGGAAATTGATCTTTCGAGCTTTACTCATGGCGAATTTGGAAATCACTTCACCGTAGCACAACTTTTTGGCAAGATCATGCTCAATGGAAATAACCAGAAGATTCGTGAGTCGTTCTTGGCTCATTGTAGACCTTAAAGCTGTCTTAACTAGAGCAAGCTTTCTAAAAGATCTCTCGCCTTCCGCAACAGAAACAGGGATGGTGTTGAAGATGCGCAGCAAAATGCAGACTGATTCGAAGAGCGGCTGAAGACCTTCTGGTATATTCCATTCAATAACGTCATGGAAGTGAGAGATTCTTTTGGACCAAAAAGATTGGATCGCTTCAGAGCATTGAGGTGGCGGACCTCTTCAATAAGTTTCTCTTCCTCAACATCGGTCGCGTAGATTTGTGCCAAGACCTTGCATTTCTCCTCCAATTGGATAGGTGCTTCAACACCTTCTGATTCTTCTTCACTTGACATAACAAGAGATTTCAAAAACCACAAGAACGAAAACATATTCGTCTTCTCAGCAGCTTGGAATCTATCGCTGACCTGCTGAATAAGAGTATCAAGAGCGGTATTGAATACGCTCACCTCAAACTCTTTTGCTTCGTCTTCATGGAAATGAGCGGTGTTCCTCACCTCTTCGTGAAAGGTCTTCCTTTTTTTCGCCCTCTTCTTCACAAATTCTGATTGAAAACCAAAAGAAGCAAGACCAGATGCTATCAAACGTGCCTCATTAAGGATGCTGGTCCAAGATGATCTCAGTCGATTTAGATCTTCAATAAGAGTCTTAATGAGTTTCATCTCGTCGTCCAAGGAGATATTTTCTGATTGGAGTGCAAGGCTCACGTAGTTGATTGATTGAAGAGTTTTATACCAAAAGGTTGTCATTACGATGAACTCGAATGAATGAACCCACTTCTCCAGAGTTTTTACATCATTCAATTGATCAGCTGTTAGATCAAAATCGCGGAGCTTTTTCAAAGATTCGAGGATTTCCCTGGGTCGCTTGACTAACGGTTTCACGGCCTCGATTCGCGCACTCCATCTGGTTTACGACGTTTGATGAAGGGACAAACCAGTGGTTTCAATCAAGACTTTCCACCGACTAGGGCTTCCACTGAAAAGATTGTAAAGTGACTGGACTCGGCCAAAGTAGTTCTTGACTTCAACCGAAGATTCAGCAGAATGAACACCAGCAAGGTTGAGACTATGAGCGCTACATGGCATATAGAGAGCTTGAGGATTTTTTTGCAGTATAATCGCCTGTACTCCTTTGTATATACCGGACATGTTCGCTCCATTGTCATATCCTTGACCTCTGCAGTTTTTGAGATTGATTCCATTTTGTTCTAAGACGTCCATAATAAGCTTGGCAATGTCAGCACCTATCTTTTTTTCAAGATTCTCGACCCTCAGAAAGCGCTCCTTCACGGTCCATCTTTTGTCAGTACCAAAGTATACAAAACGGAGAACAAAGGTAATTTGCACGGTGTGAGAGACGTCTGGAGTCCCGTCCACAAGAATGGAATAGTAGATGGCCATATGAGCTTCGTTGATGATGGCACCGTGAACGATTCCTCCGCACTCTTTGAAGAATTCATTTTGAGTGCTCCAGCCCAAGTAATGGGCATTCATTTTGTTACCTTCTTGTTGGCAGCGGGAAACTTCTTTTAAGTGTAGTTGGAGAGTCTTGTTGTGCTTGGCCAAGAGCTCTAGGGTAGCTAGAAAGTTGCCATTGTCGTCATCTCCAATCATTTTTGATAAACCTAAAAATTATAATAATAAAACAGATTTATTTAAAACAATAAAGAAGCATTTGTTTTATTTTATGATTATTCTATGGTGATTTTATATTATGATTTATGAATATTATAACATATTTATTTAAAAGAATAAAGAAGGATTTGTTTTATTTAATGATTTCCAAAATATCTAGTTAATCTAATTAATATAAGCTAAATAGATTTAAAGATAGTCGATATCGCAATAGAATAATGGTAAATAGATTTACCTCTGAAACTAAGGTTTCGTGACGCTAAAAAAAGAGTAACATCTAAGATGCATCGTAGAATTTCACGCCACCTGGCTGCTTCATTTCTTATCGAGTTTTCAAGAGCTGCATCTATTCCGCTTTGATTTTCTAAGCTTTCTAGCGCCGTTTTCCATTCTATGTAAAAGTTTCGATGCTGGGCGTTATTCTGGTGACTTTTGACTTTCTCAGGTAGCTTGTGTCAGTTGCAGCTTATTCCATCATTTCATCTTAGAAGGTGCGACTGGTGTCCGATCCCAAAAGATTGTTTGCTTCCAAACAGAGAACACGGAAAGCAAATAAATGATTTCTTAGATACACTCCAG